GGATGCCCAAAATCTGCTGTACGACGACTCCGTCATTCGCAGCGTTACTTCCAATGCCGGCTCCTTCGTTCCGCAAGGCTTGCGACTGCTCCTCTTCCTCGTTACCGGTGGTGCTATCTGCCCTGGCTCGCTCTCCGGAGTAGAGGGCCTCGTTGACGAAATTTGCGACGCCGTTACCGTAGAGCTTTTTAAATTCTGGTGAGCTCCCGCTGCATTCACCGTGACTACGTTTCCGTCCGGACATTGCTCCACTTCGTCCATAGAGGGAACGATCGAGTACCTTTTCTTCCACCAAATTCTTGACACCGAGTCCCGCAGCACCGACCAACGAGTGGAAAGATCCTCTGTCGGCCCAGTCGCCCACAAAGTCGTGTTTGGCGTCCTTGTCGGCAGCAAACACGTCCTGGTCGGTCTTTGCGTCCGAGTACCTCCCGTCGTGCTCCCGGGCAATAGAGTCGTCCTCGTCCACCGGCTCTCCGTTGTTTCGAGGATTCCCGGGTCCCAGGTAGCGGTGGCCTGGAAAGAGAAAGCGCATGCCTGTTTAAATCATCACACGGTCCATGATAGCCGACGACATCAACAACGACAAAGCAGTCCCCCTAATAACGCGACAATTTAACCTAACCTAACCTAACCTAACCTAACACAAGCCGCCAGATTGTCGTAGCAGTTGTCGAAGTTCAATATCAAGTAGTTTACTGTCATGATTTAACCTAACCTAACCTAACCTAACACAAGCCGCCACATTGTCGTAGCAGTTGTCGAAGGTCAATATCAAGACCGTGAAAAAAGGTTCAAGCATTTATTTCAAGTTTCTTTGCAGTTTGTATTCTTGGTCGTCCAGGTAGTTGTCAAACAGCAAGATGAGTGCGAGGGGGTGAATCTTCTTGTCGTACTGCTTGAGAGCTGGACAGGAGCGCCACTTGTAGCGCAACATTCTGTGGTTGAAGGCTTCGTCACGTGGAAACGTCTCGTTGTTGCTGAGCACAATCACCGGGGTCCGTGTCACAATCATGTCCGGCGAGTACTTGACCGCTACATTGTCCACATCATCACCAAAACGTTTCTTGGTCGTCTCGTACGCGGCCGATTCACCGTTTGGTTCGTTCCAAATCAGCAATCGTAATTACTTACCGCGTCCTGGAGCGGAAAGTTTGAATAGCGATTAAAGTTGTGAATGGTGCCGCGGTTAAGTAAAAGCTGGCGACGGCATCAAAGAAAAAGTTTTTACCTGCACTAGGGGGTGACATCACTTCCATGCAGTTTTTCTTGGGCACGCGACGTTCTAGTAAATTGTACAAGTCGTGTACAAATTCGGGCACGTCCTCTCCTAGTTGATACTCGAGCAAACGCACCATTGCTTCCCCGTACGAGGTGCTCACGTCTATATAATAAGCACTAATGTTGCCGTGAGGCGCGTCAAAAAGTGTGTTAGTTGTGGAATAGAGCTGAATGTAATCTAGCGTAGTCCAGTTGCACAGCTGCTCGTTAAGCACCTGAATCGCGCGTTGCAAGCGTTTATCGTCTAGTTGTATAAATCGCAAGTCTGGACTGTCTAGCCATACTGGCGTTCGGATTATACTGTTTAGCGGCGAAACCGGATTCTGGACTATGACTCGGTACAGCAATTCTTCTGTATGTGCGTTTTGACGTCCTCTGGTTTGACCTGCAGTACTCGTTCCTGGGCGTAGCGACACAGCGTCTTGATTGCCTCCTATACTTCTGGAGCAGTCTTCGCAGGCAGTTGTACTCGGAAATGCTCCAAGTAATGTTTCCACTGTTCGTGAGCCTCCACATCCAGTGTGTCCTCCGTGTTCCACAGGCGCAGTTTCAAGGTGTTCGCGCCAATCGGCTCCTGCCACCGCAAAGTGCTTGAGCCGACGGGGGTTTGTAGCAAAATACACGACGAGACGCCAGTAGTCCCACCCGGTGGCATTACTAGTCCAAATCGAAGCGCGATTTGGTCGACGGTGGATCCCATAGAAGGCAACGCATCGGCACGATCCGTTTGACCGTGCGCAGTCGTGGACCATGTGCACGTGGGGTTGGTTTTCGACATCCATCAAGGTGAAAAGAAATGGCTGTGAATGCGAATCCTGAGCGGGGTCCTCAAAGCTTCGCGTGAGCGTTTGATACAGGCTCTCAGCTTCTCCAAGACTTCCAACGGGAACAACATCGTGCACAGTTCTTCGTCTCTTCGGAACCCGTCGTAACTCCTCTGCCCATCTGGCTGGAACCCGAGGGGATTGGTAATCTTCATCCATTCCCGTTCGTGCTGCTCCTGATTCGGATATATCGTCGCCTGGTATTTGGTCCAGCGCTCTAGCAAGGTACGCAGAGAAATCCGATGGTTGGACATACTGAGTGGCAAGTCCTGAGTCACCTTCTCGACGAGATCGTCCATGCTGTCCCTATAGACATGTGGACCGTCAAACATATATTCTAGCAGAATGTGTAGCGGTACCTGGTCATGTTGATCCACCTTTTGACGTTTTGGCTCAGGCGAATCTCGCTCCATTGCGTCCTAAACAAGAAACGGCGTTTAAATTTCCGCAAGTGGCAAAAGGAAAGTTTGAATTTCCCGCCTTATCTCTGCGCCCGTACAAGATTCAAAGCTTGCCTAGTGTAGTACAGCTAGGCACAGAAAGGAGAAAAATTCAAACAGCGCATAGTAATATGGCTGGCTTACCTGGTATCGGTCTGCTTGTAGGTCCACCCGAGCTCTGCAGAGTTATTTCGCTCCTATAGTGGGGCTCCTTACATACTCACTGGTCATGTGACCTCCAGGGTTTTTCCAAAGGTCGTCTGTTGCTAGGCGGAAGCTTTTAACCACCTTTTCTTGGAATTTACCTGACATTGATAAATTCTGTCTGCCTTTTAAGCAGCTTTTCTTGGAATTTACCTGACTTTGATCAATTCTGTCTGTTTTTTAAGCAGCTTTTCCAGGAATTACCAGACATTGATAAACTTTGGTATGCTAATTTAACCTTGACTAACTTTGTCTTTCTAACCAGCTCGGGTATATAAGACCGCTACTGCGTGATGCACGTTAAAACCCCCAGGTTAGCGGTTGTACCGCACTGGCCAAATTTCTCATCTACAGCTAAGAGACCGATTACCCGTTGAGGCGCATCTCCATCAAGGCTGTATAAACATAAAGAGCAAGCCAATTTTTTTGGGACGACTACACCGACGACAAGACCCACAACAAGAGGCTCCCCTGCTGCAGGAGATAGGCAATGGAAGGATCTGCCCAAAATCTCGTGAGTGTGGCCCGGGGGGCCAAAAATTTGACTTTGTCCGATTGGCCCGAGTGTGGTATCATTGAAGAGAGCTCGAAAAATGCTGTACGGTGGTATAGTTTGTTTTTAGATTTGGCCTGGGCCAACTCTTTGGACCCAAATTTGGGCACCTAAGTTTGGTCCTACCCAGTCGTGTTGGGTACCGTTGGATTCGTCTCGTCGAGTCCTTTCCAACGATACCAATGTCGACCGGTTTCGGCCCTAACCAAATTTCGGCAGTTTTGCAAATTTTTGGGGTTTGGCCCTACCCGGGCGTGTGACATATCAAACGAAAGGTCTCGGCGAGTACTATCCGGCAATTTAAGTCTGGTCGCGCTGCGACCAATAGGAAGCGAGATGCAATTTTTCAAACATTTGAATTCGGCGCTAAAGAGCACGGGTTGCCAGACCGCCTATATCTAAAGTCGATAAACTTGGCATAATTACTAGGCCTAGGTAGGCGAGAGTGGTCGAAAGCTAAAATCGAGTTTTGATGCAAGTCTCGACATGCTAGGCGCCTGCCTAGTTACCGTTTGTTTTGTCGTAGTTGGCGTCGGTGTTACTAAAAAAGTATATATCTATATATCTTTTTATGCAGATCGACATCGACGACGACACCCCAGAGGCGTCCGAGATGGAAAGGGTGATTGGTCCGAGAGAGAGGGCGTTGGAGCGAACGGTGGCCCTCAAAGATGCAGTTTTTACTGTGATTGTCAACATGATGCAAGGATTTGAAAGCGAAATTGTAATGGAGCAGGAAAACCGGATGAATTGCATGCTAGCCCAACAAGCCGAATACTGGTTTATGGCATGTGAAGTGATGAATGGAAATTTCAATCACTTAAATTTGGAACAAGAAGACGGCGAGACCGAAGTAGTTTACTGTCACGATGCACCCGAACCATTCCTTTGTCTCGGAGGATGCGCAAAATCTGCTGTACGACGACTCCGTCATTCGCAGCGTTACTTCCAATGCCGGCTCCTCCTTCGTTCCGCAAGGCCTGCGACTGCTCCTCTTCCTCGTTACCGGTGGTGCTATCTGCCCTGGCTCGCTCTCCGGAGTAGAGGGCCTCGTTGATGAAATTTGCGACGCCATTACCGTAGAGCTTTTTAAATTCTGGTGAGCTCCCGCTGCATTCACCGTGACTACGTTTCCGTCCGGACATTGCTCCACTTCGTCCATAGAGGGAACGACCGAATACCTTTTCTTCCACCAAATTCTTGACACCGAGTCCCGCAGCACCGACCAACGAGTGGAAAGATCCTCTGTCGGCCCAGTCGCCCACAAAGTCGTGGATGGCGTCCTTGTCGGCAGCAAACACGTCCTGGTCGGTCTTTGCGTCCGAGTACCTCCTGTCGTGCTCCCGGGCAATAGAGTCGTCCTCGTCCACCGGCTCTCCGTTGTTTAGAGGATTCCCGGGTCCCAGGCAGTGGTGGCCTGGAAAGAGAAAGCGCATGCCTGTTCAAATCATCACACGGTCCATGATAGCCGACGACATCAACAACGACAAAGCAGTCCCCCTAATAACGCGACTATTTAACCTAACCTAACCTAACCTAACCTAACACAAGCGGCCAGATTGTCGAAGCAGTTGTCGAAGTTCAATATCAAGTAGTTTACTATCATGATTTAACCTAACCTAACCTAACACAAGCCGCCACATTGTCGTAGCAGTTGTCGAAGGTCAATATCAAGACCGTGAAAAAAGGTTCAAGCATTTATTTCAAGTTTCTTTGCAGTTTGTATTCTTGGTCGTTCAGGTAGTTGTCAAACAGCAAGATGAGTGCGAGGGGTAGAATCTTCTTGTCGTACTGCTTGAGAGCTGGACAGGAGCGCCACTTGTAGCGCAACATTCTGTGGTTGAAGGCTTCGTCACGTGGAAACGTCTCGTTGTTGCTGAGCACAATCACCGGGGTCCGTGTCACAATCATGTCCGGCGAGTACTTGACCGCTACATTGTCCACATCATCACCAAAAAGTTTCTTGATCGTTTCGTACGCGGCCGATTCACCGTTTGGTTCGTTCCAAATCAGCCATCGTTTACCTACCGCGTCCTGGAGCGGAAAGTTTGAATAGCGATTAAAGTTGTGAATGGTGCCGCGGTTAAATAAAAGCTGACGGGCATCAAAGAAAAAATTTTTACCTGCACTAGGGGGTGAGACCACTTCCATGCAGTTTTTCTTGGGCACGCGAAGTTCTAGTAAATTGTACAAGTCGTGTACAAATTCGGGCACGCCCTCTCCTAGTTGATACTCGAGCAAACGCACCATTGCTTCCCCGTACGAGGTGCTCACGTCTATATAATAAGCACTAATGTTGCCGTGAGGCGCGTCAAAAAGCGGGTTAGTTGTGGAATAGAGCTGAATGTAATCTAACGTAGTCCAGTTGCACAGCTGCTCGTTAAACACCTGAATCGCGCGTTGCAAGCGTTTATCGTCTAGTCGTATAAATCGCAAGTCTGGACTGTCTAGCCATACTGGCGTTCGGATTATACTGTTTAGCGGCGAAACCGGATTCTGGACGATGACTCGGTACAGCGATTCTTTTGTATGTGCGTTTTGACGTCCTCTGGTTTGACCTGCAGTACTCGTTCCTGGGCGTAGCGACACAGCGTCTTGATTGCCTCCTATACTTCTGGAGCAGTCTTCGCAGGCAGTTGTACTCGGAAATGCTACAAGTAATGTTTCCACTGTTCGTGAGCCTCCACATCCAGTGTGTCCTCCGTGTTCCCCAGGCGCAGTTCCAAGGTGTTCGCGCCAATTGGCTCCTGCCACCGCAAAGTGCTTGAGCCGACGGGGGTTTGTAGAAAAATACACGACGAGACGCCAGTAGTCCCACCCGGTGGCATTACTAGTCCAAATCGAAGCGCGATTTGGTCGACGGTGGATCCCATAGAAGGCAACGCATCGGCACGATCCGTTTGACCGTGCGCAGTCGTGGACCATGTGCACGTGGGGTTTTCGACATCCATCAAGGTGAAAAGAAATGGCTGTGAATGCGAATCCTGAGCGGGGTCCTCAAAGCTTCGCGTGAGCGTTTGATACAGGCTCTCAGCTTCTCCAAGACTTCCAACGGGAACAACATCGTGCACAGTTCTTCGTCTCTTCGGAACCCGTCGTAACTCCTCTGCCCATCTGGCTGGAACCCGAGGGGATTGGTAATCTTCATCCATTCCCGTTCGTGCTGCTCCTGATTCGGATATATCGTCGCCTGGTATTTGGTCCAGCGCTCTAGCAAGGTACGCAGAGAAATCCAATGGTTGGACATACTGAGTGGCAAGTCCTGAGTCACCTTCTCGACGAGATCGTCCATGCTGTCCCTATAGACATGTGGACCGTCAAACATATATTCTAGCAGAATGTGTAGCGGTACCTGGTCATGTAGGCCGGACGCTACAATCCCTACAACACTACTAGTAAATCGATATCTCAAATGGACGGCCGTATTTTTGGAAAAAGAAGTCGAGATTGTACCAGGCCGACGAAACACGTGACCGTCAAGATACCTAGTTTCCTCCTTTCTTCGCTTCGCTCTCTCAAGGCCGCGAGGCGGAGAAGACGCGAGGCCGTTCCCTCTCCTTCTCGGAGAAACATGACGTCAACATTCCTGCCCAAATGCGCCTCCTTTTCTTCAAAAATACGGTCATCCGATCGAGATATCGCGGTATGAGTGTCGTTTTGGTGTTTGTAGCATCCCGTTGCACGCTTTTGCTGCGTGTTTTGGGGAATCCAGATTTCGGTTTAGAATCCCTTTAAAGAGCCAGCTGAACATTGGCTTTGCCCTCAACTCGACTCTCACAGGTATGTCAAACTCGTCTTTAACTGTGGAAGTATTCATACAAAGCTGAGCTTGATCAGATATATAACAACCAATATAAAGATAAGAACCAGCGGGCTAAAATTTTACTGCAGTTCTGAAATGAGACAGAGCGAGCATGGCAAGTTAAGTGAACCCGCGTCGAGGAAATGCGGAAAGTTACAATGGCAACTAACCATCCGGCGGCAGCCCCGCCGCGCTAGCTTTTCAACACCGCTAACCCAGCTTTCAGATGTCTTCCACGGACCACAACCCGGGAAATGCTTTGAATTAATATTACGAGTGAAGACAATTTTGTGCAGAAAATTAGAGTTGTAAATTTGAACATAGGCCAACTTGGGGTAGCTTTTAAAAACTTGTATAAACGTCAAATACTGTTAAATATGGAAGTAGAAGGGTATTTTGCATTGCTGCGACAATTTATATTGTGTGCACGTGACTTACGTGCACTGTCTTACTATTTTATTTTGTACGGTACATATGATGCCAATACATGTCTATAAAATCTTTGTGTTTTTTTTTTTTTATCTCTGAGATAACTATAAACTAAGTGGACTGTTTTGTTGTTTTGCCGTGTCATAGACCAAGTTCCTTATTTTTTCACGGTGCCTGTACATATATATAAATGTGTTGTTGTTGTTGTTTTTTTCTTACGTTGAAATTACTGATGCATTGTAAGTTTTTAAAATGATTGTTTAATAAAAATATGTGTATATATAGCTCTTTCGCATTTTACTACGCCCCCCCACCTCCCGCCCTTTTCCCTTGAGCGCACACGCCCAAATAGGGCTGTCAGTTTGCCCCCCTCAAGACAAAATCTTGCCGACGCCCATGCATCAACCTCGATGAGAACTACCTCACAGGGCGACGTTCTTGATACCGAGAAACTAGACGACATAGCCATCGTAAACCTGTCGGGCGTCTCTATAACCGCGGAAGAAGAAAGGCTACTATCAAAGGGTCTGAATTTCTGCCCTGCGACCGGTCATTTCTACCAATTTCAAATCCTTCGAGACCTGGAAAATGTTGCCATATGTCTACGGCTACGCGAATACTTTCTAGACAAACCACCCGAACCCCAAAAACCGCATTTGCGACCTACGAGTGATTGGACGACTAGCACTCAGCGCGACAATTGTCTCGATTTTATATAGCCGCCTAACAACGGGATATTTTCCGGAAATATCACAGTCACGGGGCAAGAGAAACAACTGAACGGAATCCGAAAAGGAATCCCTAAAATTACTAGCGGCTAGGAGTGATATCATAATAAAACCCGCGGATAAAGGTGGGGCAACAGTCATACCAAGAAAATATGACTACATCCGAAAAGGCCACCGCCAACTAAACGATCGAAAGTACGAGCCACTTACGGACGACCCTACGGCAGAACAGACGCGGGTCGCAATCTTGGCACTACAGGATCTTCTAGAACATGGGAGAATAACTACTAATGAATACAATACAATAAAGCCAACTCACCCTTCCTGTGGTCGCTTCTATGCATGCTCCCAGAAATCCATAAAGCTGGCAACCCAGGTCGACCAATCGTGTCTGGATCAGGTAGGATAACTGAGCCGATATCGGAATACTTAGACAGTTTAATCAGGCACATACCCTTAGCTATAGACTCTTATATGAAGTATACTACCCACCTCTTGGGAGAAATATTTTTATTTGAGTGCACCGGAGGGGTCGTATCTCGTCGCCCTAGATGTATCATCTCTTTACACCAATATCCCACATGACGATGGAATAGCCTCTCTCATTGAAATGTACGAACTACACAGACAAGTAGACACCTCTGATAGTCACGTAATTGCCACCCTCACGCATCTGGTCTTAGAACTGAACTCATTCGAATTCGACAAAGAATATTCTAGGCAGGTCAACGGCACTGCGATGGGTACTAAGACGGCACCTAGTATTGCCAACATATTTATGAGAAAACTGGAAACCAAATTCCTCTCCGACTGTTCTTTACAACCAATGATCTACAAGAGGGTTATAGATGACAGTTTTCTTATTTGGCCGCACACAGAAGAGAAGCTGCTAGAGCTTATTAATCAGTACAACACTGTACATCCAACCATCTGCAATGCTCACACTTATTTTCAGACCAGTATCAACTTCTTAGATACCACTGTAATATTAGAAAAAGGCATGCTTACAACGATTCTTGATCGTAAACCAACAGATCGCCAAAAATACTTTCACTACGAAAGCGACCATCCACGTCATTGTAAGAAGGGTATACCCTACAGTCAGGCCCATCGCTTCAAACGTGTATGCTCCCGGCAAGAGGACTTCCAATCCATCTCTCATCATCTAAAGAACGCACTGGAAAAACAAAAAATATCCATCGCGAGTTATTGACGACGCAATTAAAAAAGCTACCCAACTAAACCACGCTGGCCTCCTGGAGGACCGTCCTCCTCAGTGCAACTCGCAGCGCATGAATTTATGTCTAGCATATAGTATGAATTTCCTCAACGTAAATAATGTTCTCAGGCGACATTATGACATTTTAGAACAAAGCGAAAGCCTTAAGCGTGCATTCCCATCAGCTCCTGGGTAATTCACAGACAATTACGCAACCTTAGAGACAGCCTAGTTAACTCCCGACTGAATTCGTCCCAACTAAATAACGGATGCCGACCGTGCATTAAAGCAGGATTCCTGCAAACATATACGAGAAACTAACAGGGCCAATAGCACGCATTCCCAGTTCTCAATAAAAATCCGAGGGCAGCTTATGTGACTCCCCAAATATAATTTATCTGCTACAGTGTGAGGTGTGCAAAAAACAGCATATAGGACTGAAACAGCGTTTAGGCTACGGTTTAACAATCACAGATCGCACGCAAAATTCCTGCCGAGCCTGCCAATTTCAAAACATCTCAGCCTCTATAGAACTACACATTCGATAAATTATCTGTTACACTTTTAGAGACTGGATTCAAATCAAATCGGGAACGCGAAGAACGCGAGTCATACCTTATATACCGATTTAACACAATAAAAAAAAAATAATAGACGCCCGGGAACACTTGCATCGATTGAGGTGCTGTTGAATAAATAGCACGATAACGATCACATATAATAAACCTTTTGGGCCTAGAATTCCGTGGTGCGTCTTCGTTCCTTTCTTGTGTTGTTTAGTTAGTTTCCGTACATCTTGTGTTTCCGTACTTCCTACTACCTTTGATATGTCACCTATGTATTTGGCGACCTCCGTCTGCGGCTTCCTCCGACTTAGAGTTCGTCCTTTCCTTTGTACAAGACGCTGGGCGGTGTGCCCTTGTCTCTTCTCCGTACGCAGTTTCTTTTTATGCAAACTGTATCATTCGGTTCGTTACCTATTTTTTTCCTTTTTGATTATGTGACATCTATGTATTTTGCGAGCTCCGTGTGCGGCTTAGGGTTCGTCCCTTATTTTGTGCGAGATTCTGGGTGGTGTATACCCTTATCTGTTCTCCCTACGTAGTTTCTTTGTACGCCAACTCTCCCCTTTAAGGACTGTATAAAGAGAACCACATATTTTTTGTAACCTTATTCCTGACGAAGACCTGCCTCAGCCTCAGGTCGAAATGTCGAATAAAATCCTCCTGATTTGCTTTCCCTGCATCCCTGCATCTATCTATCTATCATATATATATATATATATATATATACGTGTGTGTGTTTTTTTTTATTGCAACAGACTTTTTAAAAATAAACTATCAGAGGAGCGCGGATAGCGTTTTCACGGATAGGTTGTACGGCGAGGCGGACACTACACTCCGGTAGAAATGGAACTACCATGGGAATAATTAACAAAAATCACTAAGTAACTTTTTTAATTACAGTTTTTAGGGCAGCGGTGTATGTGGCAGATTTGTAGGCAGTACTAGTTTAAGATCAGCCCAATTTTTAAAAACACCGAGATGTGCGCATAGTTTGAGATATTGATTGTCAAAATTGTGCCATTCTGTCCGGCGTAAACCGAAACCAAGCGCATGAGGAGCGCTGGAAACACCACGTCATCCTACGTCGGAGGGAAACGCCCAGTGACGAAATCACGTCATGATTTTGATTGGTTCGCAAATAATACGCGTTTGGTATTTAGCCGCTGGGCGAGTAAGATGACGATACATCTGACTGGCCCGTACGTGCGGCCTCGCCAGGCGTGCGATATCGGTGACGAGGCATTTAGTAACGGTCGCAAGAAAGCGTGGCGATAAAAGAAAAAAAAATGGTACCGATAGATAGGTTGATGAATTTTGTGACTGGCTGCTACTTGGACGAGAATACGGCTCGCATTGCCCCACAACAAAGACGCGCGTTTAGAATAGACTGAGTTTTGCTTCTGAGCTTACTGGCCTACCGTTGCAAAACACGCAACACTTCGCAAAAAAAAACAAAAAAAACAGGGAATCATTAATTGGAGCACCTAAATGAGCTGCGCCTAGAGTATCGGCACTCTGTCCTCCAACATTGTTGTGGGCGCCGCCATT